GTAAGAACCACGTGTGTGAAAACTTAGGTCTTAGGTATAGGTACTGTATTTCTTTTCATATTAGTTTTAAAAATTATAATGTGATTTTTATTAGCATCTTAAAATTTATTGCAATTTAAAGATTATTTTTTGGAGGGGCGCATATCTTTCGGTGTGCCTAGGGGCGCAAAAAATTTAAATCCGCCACTGAGTTCAGGGCGATAATTTTTTGTGATAATGAGGACATTTTGTTCGGCGTGTTTTGTCCAAATCTTTCATTAAGCTAATTGGTTTAACCTCGGGTTTAACTGAATTCGTACATTTTGCTATGTACCTATACAAGAATATTGCCACAATTGTTCCCAACAAGATGATTTCTACCAATCCGATTCATTTGGTTAAAGTGTGTCAGATCTTCCAAGTACCAATAGAAAATACCAAGTGCATCTTAAGTCCTTAAATAGCAATTGAACCACCACTGGGAAAAAAGAGAAAGAGAAACAATTACAAAACATCCCTCAAGGCACTCTAAAGTAACACAATGTCGCTTTTAGTGCCACAAGGGAAAGTCGGATTCATAGGAAAAACTAGAATATCGCGAGAGGGCCAAGATTGAAAGTATTTATCAGTCAAAAGCTGATAGATTGAGATTTTCTTAAAATATTAAATAGAATACTGTATATATTGGAAAATATAAACATTTTGGTGAAAAATGTTGTTTTTCCTGTCTTGTTAAATATCGGGCGATTTTTATTCCATGGATTTAAAAAAAATTGAGTTTGTTTAGAAGTCAGCACATTACACTAGCGGTGGACGTATGATATTGAAAATAATTTCCATCTGTTCTCTTGGACAGAAGTAATAAGAATTTCGAACCTCGTTCTTTTATTAATTTCGAGGACATAGCGATTCTTTTAACTACCCAGTTCTAGAAGCGATAGGCACATGTCTTGAATAGCTCCATCAAGTTATCCCCAGCAATTAAAAACTTATATGTGTAATGAAAATTTTTTAATAGGTACTGCTAGGGTTGTGCTAAATTGTGCTGATTCAATTTTAATTTGTGGTGATTTAGAAAATCAGTTTTCTTTCAATTGAAATGCTGGGACCAATTTGACTCTCAGCCCTCCGGGTTTTTAAGGGACAAATTCCACTAGTGCAGTAATAGGCCAGTCAAAATCGACAATAAATCAACAAAACATGATGTATCTCTGATTTTTTAGTATGTTGTTTGGACCCATTAGAGTAGTGTATACTTAAGTTTGCAACTCTCTAAAAGTTGTGGAAAAAGTGTAGTATACGAAAAACCGCGACATTTTCGGACTTTTTGCAGTGTTTGCGTTATATTTCCTTAACTATACATTTTTCGACGAAAGTCACTATATACGTTTTTGAAGAGTATTAAATGTATAATAATTTGCGCCTAACCCGAGCTCTGTAGGTCAATTAGTTACCGAATTACGGCACTTTGAAGATAGTCATTTTTTTCCAAAAAGTGAACATTTGAGTTTTACACCTTCTTTAGATCGAAATTGCGGCTAAACTATTAATCCTACGAGTAGAACTTATAAAATATACATTGTAGATAATTTAATTAGCTTTAAGTTAAGCGTAAAGTGGGGTCTGCAGGTCTCGTAGTTCTCTCTAAATCTCAAAAAAACCGATATAAGGTAAAATCGCATGTATCCATACCTGCTTTCAGGCATGTGCAGCCACCTCTGCACCTCTGCCTTCTTTATTGTTTTTCTGTTTTAAAGATGTTTTTCTTTCGCCTCTTTAAAAAAGTATTTTTTAAGGCTCACTAATTTTAATCTAAAAATAGGTATAGGTATCTTAACTGAGTAATAAACAGCCCTATTAGCGAGCATGTTTTTGGCTCATAAAGATGATCCTTATGTTATTGTTAGCATAGTTGTCGCGAAGTTGTCATAAATAATTATGCGTGGTCTTACCAAGACTCGAAAAAAGTCATTTTTAGTGATGAATCTCGATTTGATATCAGTGTAGGCGATAATCGAGAAAGAGTCATCAGAACGGAAAACAAAGCATATCACAAAGATTGCTTAAAGTGGTCTGTAAAATTCCCCAGTGGTGTAACGGTGTGGGGTAGTATGTCTGCAAATGGGCTGGGACAATCGCACTTTACAAATGGTAATGTTTATGCTCAGAAATATCAAGCAATTTCAGAACAAAGTTGATTGCCTTCACTTGCGACATTTTCACCTGATGCAGACTTTGTTTTTTAACAAGACGGAGCATCATGTCACAGCAAAAAACGACTAAGAAATGGTTACAAGACCATAATAATGGTGTTTTAGAGGTGCCCTCATGCAGTCCAGATCTCAATGTCATTGAGGCAGTGTGACATAAAATGAAGCAACGTTTGTGTATTCATCCGCAACGCAATATTGCTCTTTGAGTGAAAAGTTACAAGAGATTTGGGGTACCTTTGGCATCGATCAATGTAAAGCTCTTGTGACGACCATGCCTGCACGAATCCAGGCTGTTATTAAAGCCAAAGGGGTTGTAACTCATTATTAAGGAATGGTGTCCGAACATTTTTGTGTCACTTTAAATTCTAATTTTATGGTGTTTTGTGTTATTTGACATTTGTAACAGTTACTAAATATGTTTAATTTATAACTATAGTAAGAAAAAAATAATAAAATAACATACAATGAATTTAAGTTACAATATTTTGAGTGTCCGAACATTTTTGTGTTAGGGCTCGTATTAGGTATGCACAATGATATCATTGCGGCACCTTCCTACGACTTACTCAACTTTGATTTGTGCCTTAAATTAAATCTATGAAATTGTTGGATATTTAAAATTGACTCTATGCAGCAAAAAAAGTGATTTGACACATTGCTTTTTTATTTCCACACCAAAAAAACAAAAGATAAAAAGTTTGTGGAACATTTCTGGAAAAATACAATTTTACCTTATATCGGTTTTTTTGAGATTTAGAGAGAACTACGAGACCTGCAGACCCCACTTTACGCTTAACTTAAAGCTAATTAAATTATCTACAACTTCTATTTTATAATTTCTACTCGTAGGATCAATAGTTTAGCCGCAATTTCGATCTAAAGAAGGTGTAAAACTCAAATGTTCACTTTTTGGAAAAAAATGACTATCTTCAAAGTGCCGTAATTCGGTAACTAATTGACTTACAGAGCTCGAGTTGGGCGAACGGGGAAAACGAAAATAGTCTTGCGGTGCACGCCGCACGGTAGTTCCTGCACTCAAATCTTGGGGCGGGGGGGGGGCAGCTGGACTCTCCCCCCTAAATACCTACCTAGCAAAAGATATTAAGATAAACCATTATCCGATTACAAACGATGCGAAGTTGTCACTAATTTACTAGCTATTTTTCAGTATGACTGAGAGTCAAGGAATAATTAGTATTATTTTTGATACTCGTGAAATAGTATTTCCATTATTGCGGATTTCATATGTAAAACGACGTGGGGACTGTGAGTAAAGTTGGATACTATAATATGAGTATTATTAGGATGAGTATTATTAATATCAATAATATTTATACCTATACATTTTTTTAATTTGAGGGGGGGGGGCCCAACTTGATGAAGCTCTGTCCTGAAATTTGACATCAATCACTGTAATTTTTTTCTTGTTTTCACCAGAACTTATAGTAATTCTGAAGTCATAAGTTGGTTGTATCTTTTTTTTTATTTTTACAAATCACCTTATCAACCTCATGATACAGTTAAATAAAAAAATTCACAGATTTCGCAATCCTTGCAACCATCGGAGACATTGGAAATAACCGTAGGTATAACCTATAAAGTCATAAATAACCATTCACACGAAATAACGTAAACTTTCTGAATAATAAGCGGCGTAAGTACATACTTGTATTACTATCACCGGAGATGTGCGAGAATTTAAAATTCGAATTAATAAAACCCGTATCGACAGTATCCGCCACTGTTCCTGAATCTACCGATTGCAGTCGAGTACGGTACAATCAACACTAGACACGACACCACTGTCTTTTTCTACTCGGCAAACCTGGTAAATGCATACCCATACAAAACATAAGGATTTCCAATGCTAAAAACTACCATTTTCTAGTCTCAAATCGCGAAAACCCAAATGCAAGAGAGTAGATGCGCTTCTCTCATTCAACTTTTAATTTTTACTTACTTTTTTATTTTTCAACGAAATACATACGACTCGTAAACAGAATTTACAGTTAACATTTTACGGTCACGTCAATGTCACCCAAATGAACAGATCCCAATATTTATGTTACTTTTTTTAGAAGGGAAAGTTTTACCCTTTTACTGCTTTTGCACATTTTCTAAAAATACTTTTTAAATCACCTACATAAAAATATAAAAGAGGTATAAGTTAGTGCTTTTATTGTTTGTTAAAGAGAAAGTTTTCTGTCATATGCCTTTCTTACACTAAATTGCTTACACTACACCGTATTACGTTTACAATTACAAATTTCTCTTATCTGATAACATCGTTAGCTTGTACATGGATTATCAAATGAATCCACCAGTCTTACTAGTCATTATGTAATGCCAATGCAATGATTTAGCGTATGTCGCGGCGAATTAATATTTAATGCTGAGGGTCTGGGTTTGTATAATTAATAACTAAATCTATTGCTTTTCAGAAATAGTTTGTCAATATTTAAAACGATGGTTGCATACTATAAGTGATTTTTCCCATATGTTTGGCAAGTGTCCCAATACTTTGCCGGTAACAGATTGAAATTGCATAGCGTAAAGTACGAAAAATGTTTTCTACTCACCATTATAATAATAAGACTAATTAAAAATTAATGGCGAGAATTATGAATTTGAAAATGTATTTTTTTCATGTTTTGAAATTTTAATATGCAAATACATAGGTATGAGGTAACGCACCTACGATACTCTCTGCCTTCACTCCACTCCATCTTACAATAGGCATTTAATTTAATTACCATTCAAGATAAGCTGACAACCTTAGTAATAATTAATTTTTTTCTATTGTTTCAGGTCCTAACGGATGTCCGCGACGCAGAGGGCGACAAACGTACACACGGTTCCAGACGTTAGAATTGGAGAAGGAATTTCACTTTAATCACTATTTAACGCGAAGACGACGTATTGAAATAGCGCACGCACTTTGTTTAACGGAACGTCAAATAAAAATCTGGTTTCAAAATAGACGCATGAAACTAAAAAAAGAATTAAGGGCGGTAAAAGAAATCAACGAGCAGGCGAGACGAGAACGAGAGGAACAGGATAGACTAAAACAGCAGCAGCAGGAGAAACAACAAAAAATGGATCAACAGCACCATTCTTCCACTCAACATCAGCACCACCACGATCCTATGAAAATGGCCCTCGATAAATCCAGTAGTAACGATCTCTTAAAAGCCGTGTCTAAAATCCCAACATAAAAAGGCATTTCCTCAATGCTTCATTAAATGAAATCTAAATACGTAGTAGTTTTAAGGTGCATAGACGTTAAATTAAACCCAGTGAACTGTGCGATAGTAGTGTAAAGTGTATACTTTTTCTGTGCACAGTCGTGATTGCGGTGCGCGTAACTTTCTCGAAGATTTTTTACGGGAACTTTTATTTTATATACAGCGTAGGAGATAATGTTTTGTTGACTTTGTGTTGTATTCTTTGTACATATTATACATTTGTTCATGTTATTACGCACTATTTAAATAAGTGATATTCTTCTACGGTTAGCCCTGTAAAGTTTTTTTTGTTACTGTTCGGTTAGTATTGTTGTGATTGCATAATGCATTTAAGTTTGTAATAAGTTATAAGAAGTTCACGCTGCTTGTGACCAGCCATGTTACAACACTGATTTATTTATTGTTTTTATAAAATATCTACTACTTTTTACTCACAGTGATATGTGGCGCAGTCAAAGGTGTGCTAGTGAAATGCGTGCCAAGTATTCCTTTTCTATAGTATAATTTATAATTATTTCTTTAAACTACTTTGAATATATCCGTGTCATAATATTAAAACACGAATCCGTATCCATTACAAAGGCAGTCATGTTCCGATCTTTCTAGTACATAATACGTAATTTGGTGTCAGGGTAGCAAGCCTAAAAATTACATTTAATACAATACCTATACTATTTACTCCATTGACATGATCGTTCATTGTATTCATTATTTATTCCTTCTTCTTCTGTCGTACCGTCGTATATCTTCTCGTGTAAAATATTATTCTATTAGGTCGTTGTCGTACATGTCCTATGTATAAATAGTTAAATTGTGTGTTTGCCTATTCTGCAATTAGATACGTAAATTGTACAATATTTCAAAAATACAAACAACTAGAGTTTTTCATACAAATAATGTATTTACGTACAGTATTGATTTCTTTCGAAATTTTATTTTTTGACTTGTAGAAAATTACTACGTATACGCTGTGGAAAACAAAGATGTACAGGTTAATTTACGTGTTGATTCATCTTGTTGACTGTTGATCGGTTTATCAAAAACTTCAGTTTCCGTGAAATATGTAACAAAAGATTATTTATTTGTTTACATTCTAAGTAACTGTACAGTAAAACTTGTAAATAGTCAGAATTAAATCTAGATGAAGTAGTATTAGAATTCCATATAACCCAGCAAAAACTTGGACTGATATTACTAATGCTTTTTAAAAATTAGGGCTAAATAATATGCTTTTATAGCAAGACGTTGTTTTTTTAGAGTAAAGGAATAATTTTATAGTACAAGAATACAAGAACTTGCCATACTTTGTATTTATTAAATAATGCAATAAGTGCAATTGCTTACAGCAGCACTTTTCCCTAAAGATAAGTAAACTCAAAAGTTACGATTATTTAATGCAGCAATTAAAAATTGTTCATTTATTTCTAAAACTCTTCATATTTCAGATATGCAATTAAATTGTGTAGCTCTCTTTAGCCTGTGATAGAAAGAAATTCTTTTGTAACTTTTATCCGACCTATGCTTTCTTTGCTGGTCTTTTCACATGTATACGCGTTATAGGAAGATTCAATCCTATTAGTTTGCACTGATTTTGTTTTACGGTTTTGGTGACCAATGTTATGTATGCCCTTTGGTATGAAGTTTAATGTTGAATTGTATTCCGTGCAATATAATCTGTAGGTATTATTAATTACAAAAAGTTGTTGGATAATTCATTTTTTTAAATTTTTTTTATTAGATGTGTAAATCTTGGTGCAATGAATCGATTTCTGCATTACGCAGAAATCAACAGAGCCGAGTTGGGTACAATTTATTGTAAGTTTGTTATAAATCAGTGCGAACTAATGGGAGTTAAATTATGCTTTCAAAAAATTGTTACAATTTTTTCTTAAAAGATTCATATCATCAAAATTACTTAAAATTTAGTCGGATCATTCAGCAAATGGAATCAAAGGAAAGCTGGAAGGCAGCTAACATTTGTGTAGTGTAACTAATAAAGTATTAGGTAGTCTAAGTGTTAGATATTTTATGACCTAGTTGTTCATCATACGTGCTCTCGAGACCGAATTATGACATGCGATGTATCATAAAACAGTCGACAGTATCATTATTACAGTTGCTACCTACTGTTGCTTTTGATGCCATGTGTCTTATTACTTGTGTAATCCTATTATATGTAATGTACAGATTGTCTGAACTGAATAAACATTACTTTCGAAAATTATCATGTTGTTCGATTCCGACATAATACCTTCAAAAGTAGGTATGGTACATCTTTTCAATGTGACGAATCGAAATATGAAAACTAGTAGAAACGTAAGCACTAGTGACCTATTAAACCATATTGTTTTGGTTGTTGGTAGCTCTTGCTCGCAAAAAATGCAAAATCAATTCCTGGGCAAATGAATCAAGTATCAACTGCACAACTCTTGTGCAGATAATCGCATTTTTTTTAATCGAAATGGCCTAGTAGCATGCTATATTCATTATCTTTACATAAACATTTAAAGGCCGCCTGGCTAATATTCAAAACCGCTATATAAAGCAAGAAGGATCAAGCTTCCAAAATGGCGAGGTACTAAACGCACAGTCTGACTATTATTCAAATAATTTGATTATTGCAATAGTTCTCGTTGAAAGATTTTTCAAAGCCGCGCATAATTCTGATTCTTGAATCGGGGAAAATACGACATTACTGTTCTCATGTAAAAAAAAGTTTAGAAAATAACATTCTACCCTCTATTACAACGTGACGGTTACGAACCGGTCAAGAGGTATTCTTGTTTAACTCTTCGGTTGAAAAACTTAAACAAATATATATTTTGGAACTAAATTTTCTAATAAAAAATTCAATTGACAATACATTAAGCGTTCTTTTAAGCGGCCCCTACACGATCAATATTTACGTCAATATATTGTACAATAGTATTACTTGGCCAACCCACCCGGTGCAATATTATTGTTCAATAAATTATTTCGCAGGGTGATATTTGTGCAGTCAACGTGGAATAATAAGAAGACAGTAAGTTGTGTGGCTATAGCTTTAGTTATAGCTTAAAAAAAAGGAAAACAAGAAGCGCAAGTGGATGAAGGAATGGTTTAAAAAAAGAAATAAATACACTCATGAAAATCTGGTAAATGAACTAAGAATTAATGAACCAAGTGATACACCTCGATACATTCTAAAATGAACTTTCTTTCTTCATCTTTCCCCTTATTTGTAGCCATGGTCGATGTTTATTCCTACTCTGTTAACACAGAACTGAAGTGGTATTGCACAATATTACCAACAGACGCAGCAATTTACTAGATTGCACAATAAAAATCAAACAGTTTTTGATTGACTCAATATATTGCGCAATCTTTCAATGTGCTCTACAGACGCTCAATACTATTGTGCAATGTAAATTATTGTGCAATATATTGGATTGTGTATGGACCGCTTTACACGGGAATGCTGTATGCGAGATACAGTATGTCGTCAGGATTCGTGTCCAATAGCATAAGTAAGTACTAAACTGCTCTTGCGCAGTCAGGTACTTATTTTCGCGAAGTATTTTCAGTGCTAATGAAAAAATAACTTTTTAAAATAGCAATCCGGGACAAAATCAGGTTTCAAGTCTTGCCCATAACATTTGAAAAGAAACAGATAATCATTATTATACATTTACGATTTTATTTATTTCAAAGCTTAAAAAAATAATGGTACAACATAGCAAATAGACATATAGTAGGCGTTTCCGCGCACGTCACCGGTATATTACATCTGAATTAGGTACGTTTACATAGTATCTGTAATCGATAGAACAGAATAAGTATGTAGGAAATCATACGAACAGTGCTGCATTATGCTTAGTATACCAATTAGACCAACGATCTTCTACAGTATGCAAACCCCAATGCGGCACTGTTTGCATCGTTTCCTACATATTTATTTTGTTCTATTGATTTCAGATACTATGTAAACGTACCTAATTCAGATGTCCATAATACACCAACGTGCGCGCAAACGCAAACTTAGGAAAATCCTACTATACGCTCTTATAGTTTATATCCATTAACTATCAAGACTGGATAAAAACAACGGCGATTAAAACTACCTAACACAATGAAAAGCGAAGTTATAGACATAAATACTATGCAGGTCAGTCGTCAGTCACCATTACGCTTTGAATAAAATTAATGCAATTCAAACGCGGTCGACTTGCGCAGTGGTCGTCCATTGGATGGAATATAACCGCGAGCCGAGTTAAAATACGCGTTGGTGTAAAAGCTTTGCTTCTCTTCGTTTGTTGGCGTTGCCTTGTTTACGTTGATTTGGGCAACACTGTTACAAGAGCGGGACATATTGGTTTTAAGTCCAGGACATATTTATACCCGGCTTTATGGTTCAGTGGTAGAGTGCTAGGCTATAAATCCGGAGGTCGGGTTCGAACCTGGGTTGAGGTGGATTTTTCATCTGTGGCAGAGATGGGAATTACCTTAGACCAGTTTCGAGCATTCTGCCGGCTACTCCGAATTAGGTTTTCCTGCAGTTTTCCTAATTCGTAAGGTAAATACCGGAGTACTACAGAACAACGTAAGACCTTCTGCAGAGGCACCTCTAAAAAGCATTATGCGGGTCACTCTGTAATTGGGCGCAAGCCTGTTGAGGGCCCAGAACAAGAGAGGGATAATAAATAAATAAATAAATTTATTTTTAGAATGCGGGATTGTGTTTGCCATTAACCCATTACGGGACCGTCCCGCCGAATACTGGACGGTTGGCCGATGAATTAATATCCCATCAGTCCTCCAAAGTCGTAAAATCGCTGGGCGACTGGGATTCGCGAGAGACCGAAATTTAGTTGCCGATGCTGTACCTATGTGGGACTGGGAAGTGTGCTTGTGTGAACAGGTCCATAAAATGCAATGTTGCAGGTGTATCCGAGATACCTCTGCGAGCGACTGTATCCTCGTGTAAAAGCGGTCTAAAACTGCAGTCCTGGCCATCCTAAACAAGCTAGAATTAAAAACAGGTATTCATTGGGTCCCAGCAGGTTATTTTTATCAACCTTCAAACTCGGGGCTAAAAACTTTTGAACCAACAGTTGACATTCACCCACATTGGGTTCTTTTACATAAAAAATTTTTGACGGTACTTATTTGAACCAAGTTGTATGTTTGTCTACATATCTATTGTCCACTCAGCAAATACCTCAAAACCTCTAAAATTGTAAAATGTCCAATCGTGAGTTTCAAATACCTTTCCTGAACTCTATATTCTTAGATTTGATCAGTTAATTTCCAAGTTATTTCATATTTTATGGGACGATGTTTTATTTTGTAAATTACAACATAATTAATGCAAGGATTAGGTAATTGTAGTTCGATGAACTGAATGAGAAGGGTACAATTTACGCATTAACCCATAATTAATAGGGTGTTAACTGTTAAGCTATATTATATTCGCAGTTTTACTGACAAGCCGGCTCCCGAATGTACGGATCAAGTACTGTTTGCTGCTCAAATCGGGTTCGCTGGCGAATAAAATTTCGCGCAAATGAAGCTGTTGGTGATGATTTGATAATAGGCTCCACTGGTCAACTTGAGACTATATTAAATAACTGACCGGTATTTGAATTAAATGCGTGCAATCGCGATTTTTGTAATAAAACTCGTCCACTGGTGAAAATGTGATAGACCGAACCGATGTTTCCCGTTTCTATTATATATATTGCATGGATTAAAAATACATCAGTATATGATCACAGAGTTTTGTTCTAAGGCGCTCAATTCAATTTGGAAGAGGATCAAATTTATAGCTAATAATTCGGATTAGGTGCAGTGAGTTACTCGACTTATAGTCATTGTTCATGTGATCGGTGTGCCATTCCTTTATGTATCTTCTAATTTTGAATTTAAAATCGTAACCTAAAAATATGTTAACTCATACAGGGTGTTCCATAGAAGTTACGCGTATGTCTTTTTTGGCCGCCAGACTATAACAGCAGAAGCATCCTAAAACTATAAAGATTTCCATAGCGATCAGATTTCGATCGCCACGGGAATCGCTTTGAACTTGATCTTCAAGCATGAGTGACCTCCGTACTTAAGATTTTGAAAAGGAATCAGTTTCATCCGGATTGCCTACAATTAATTCAAGAATCGGAGGAAAATGGTTTTCTACGGAATCGCAATTTTTGCTAGCGAGATAGGCACAATCCCTATTTCTTTGTCCCGCTAGATCACCATCAGCATCGTTGGTATTCACATGTATGGGGAGTAATCATTGGAAACTATCTGTTATGGTCTTATCTCGGGTCTTATTTTAGTGAAGGGAATGCCCATCCATTTTTAGCTGCCAGGATATTTTGATGACTTCCCATTAGCCCTCAGAAATAGGTTCCAAATCACATTATTATTTAACCCTTAATTAAGAACCGTCTAATAAAATGTTATTTCACTCTAAAATTCGATGAACTCCCAGAGGAACTTTAGACATTAAAATTAGGCTGAAGCGCATTGACACTACTACTATTTGGCGAATCCGATTCCGATCAGAAGATGGGCATAACTATTTTTAAAAGGTTGTATTCAAACTTTGTTCATTAATCAAATCCGGTCAATAATTTCAGTTGTCATTTTGTTTTTAATTTTGAAAATGTAATTTTTGAATCGTTTTTGTAGAGACTGCAATTTTAGCATTCCAAACGAAACTCAGAATCTTAATAAGTACCTACTTATCTCTTACATACGTATAGTATGCTCCCAAGTATGAATTTACCTATTTTGCTTGAGTTTGTCTTTTTTCAAATCACAAAATTGTCAAACATATATAATAATCTAATGGACAGATTAAGAAGACATTTTGGTTTGCCATATAGAAAACGAAACATAATATTAGAAAGAAGGTTAACTTTCTGGAACAACTTTTAGGATTGGACGAGGACTATTCTCAGCTTATGGTTTCATGGTCCATCAAATTTAATATGCTTTGTTTCCGTCTCACAGATATAACCTGTCTCGTGAAAACTTTACTCGTAATAAAATTGGAATACCCTTTCTTTTATAGATTATGGCTTATTCATAGCGATAATTACTTTTTTCTCTTTTCATATTTATTTAAGTGTTCCAAGTCCCGGAACTAAAATACCCATTTTCCTTGAAAATAAAAATCCTTGTGCAACGTGAATGATTTGGAAGAAAAAATAATAGAATACATGGGAACAAATTTTATTGAAT